TTCCTCACATAAAGTCAAGGTTAAATTTCCTCAGGAAAAGATATGTCATCATAACCCCACTTTGCCACTTATGTCAAACACCTACTCTATACAAATCTCAAAATGAGAACAAATAAACCACACAGTAGCTCTTTGGGAATAAGAAGGGGCTTTTCACGTTTGTTTTTTTTTTAAAGAAAGTTCTTTTAAAAATACATAGTCTTCTATTTGTCTTTACCTCAATATTTGAGCATCCCAACTATATTAAAGAGCGCACACATCCTTGCAGCACCGCATATCACTTCTGAAAAGACCTGTCTGGGAACTACATTTTCTGTTCCATACAAAGTTCAACATTTCCACTTCTACCTTTTTAAAAACTTGAAATGGTGGAAATGTTTCATTTTCTATAGAGTGGAAAACTTTCAAAAACACTTGAGCAGAATGCCAGCAAGCTGGTGAAATGGCCCAAGATCCCAGGTGCCAAGGGAGCCTGCCAATGCCTACCTCTGTGCTTAGGTGACAGAAAAGCACAGCAGGTTTTATTTAATGGACCCGACACATTTCTGCAGAACACTTCAATTCTATTTAATTAGGGTTCTGCATCCAAAAAAGCCTTCTAGTGGAAAAGTTTTAACTAACACCAGTCAAAATTAGTATCATCATCATTAATAATCTTTAGGAAATTAAATATATTAATTTACCCCATCAGCTAGAGCTGGGGATTGGCCTTGAGCCCTTTACCTCCTTTACCTCCTCTTTTCAACCATAAAACTTCTTTCCATTTCCAGAACTGCCTTTTCAGATACTTTGCTGTATCTCCTAAGGTTCCATTCTCAAGTGCTCTTGCACACAGGAGCACAGGTCCAAGTAGAGAACTGTAATTTAGAACCAAAAGCTAGATTTTCCATAGCTGTGCTACTGAAAGTAAAAGTAATCCTTTTCTGATCCTATTTAGATACTTCTCCAAAACACAACTAACTTGCTAAGTAGAAGTCACATAAAATACTGGGAAAGGCAACGTAGTCTAACTGGAGACATGATAGTAATCCATATGCACCAGGGGGCAAGCTAGCAACTGTGGACGAATCTGGACAAGCTCCAGAAAACTACATCCATAAATATCTCACTGAGCTCTCAGCAATTAGTCTTTCATACAGTTTAGCTTGGTTTTTGCAAATTCATATACCAGTAAAGGTATACATTTGGTCAAAACCATACCTCAGTCCATAGCTAAAGACAGTTTATTTTTTCAGATTTTACATACATTTTGTGTTGCCTATTTTTTTCTCTGCCTATTTTTTCATACTGTTTGCTGTACTGTAATGGGATCACCGAAACGGGCACTATTTTACAGGTTTTTTAACCAGAACATTTAGGTGGTCATTATTGCTATGTGACTTCAGACTCAACTATATTGGTGCAATTAGGAAAGTGGGAAGTGCAGAAGAGGAGAGGTAACAAGCTGTCAGGGTGAGCAGGGCCTTCTGGCCTGAACTCACCACCAAGGACAACATAGAATCACAGAATGGCTTGGGTTGGAAGGAACCTATAAAGGTCCAACCCCCCTGCCCTGGGCAGAGACACCTCCCATTAGACCAGGTTGCCCAAAGCCCTGTTGAACCTGACCTTGAATGTTTCCAGGGATGGGGCATCTACCACCTCTCTGGGCAACCTGCATGAGTGTGACATTAAAGGATTTCAACCTTACATCCAATCTAAACCTACCCTCTTCTACTTGTCCTGACACTACAGGCCCTGGTAAAAAGTCTCTCTCCATCTTTTTTATAAGCCCCCTTTAAGTACTGAAAGGCTGCAATAAGGTCTCTGCGTATTAACTGGAGACACACTAAAAATTAATGTATTTACTGTATATCTTACAAAACATAAAACAAATCAGATAAAATTGACTTTTAAAAGGGGCACTCTGTATCACCAAATATGCACTGCAAAACAAGTAGGCTTGGATGTCCAGAACCCTGAAAGCTTTTCCTACACTGCCCAAGCAACCCTCAGCCTGAACTTAATTAACAAATACACTCTCACACATTCAGACACTCATGGAAGAGCAAAGAGCGAGTGACTTGGCAAGGCTTGAGACACTGAATAACAAAAAGTGTTCAGCAAACAAATGTTCCATTTGAGTTGCTTCCTTTTTTCTGGTGACAAACACCACAAAGAAGTTTGCATTCAAATTCTAATTCCCCCACACGCCCCTGCAGTTCTCTTTCCTTCAGTGCAGGGGGGAGTAAGGAAGATTTACTCATCACTCCCCCAGTTCGGAGGAGCACAGACTCCATTTGAAGAATCTCACTGCCTTGTGAAAAGCTTATGGTTTGGGGAAGACCCGACAGTGCTGTGTGTGTGAAAGACAGGGGTTTGCTGCCCGGTTCCTGCTGGAGGTGAGGGCAGCCCTACGTCCCGAGGCAGGCACAGAGCCACACGCGAGGTGCTGAAGAGGGGAAGCCACTTGTACAATAAGAAAATAGGTTTAACGACCCGCAGAAACACTTGAACAAATACAAGCACTTCCGAGGTTCTCCCTAACCAAAACCCGCAAGTTTAACTTTTCTGAATCAAGCTGTCAATCACGCAAAATGAGTTCAGCTATTAATGAAAAAACAATAAATGTACAATAATGAGGAAATGACCTAATGGACCACGGCAGATTGACTTAATTTGTTATTAATTAACTGCCCTTAGGAGAAACTGTAGAGGGAGTGGCCAAACACCGGGATAACTGTTAACAGAATACTTTCCTCTCAATAAATGAGATTTTCATTTTTAATGTGCTCCAGGAAGATTTTAAAAAGAAAAAAAAAAGAAAAAGAAAGAAAAAGATACTGTTCTCTGCATTCTGGCAAGACCACTGGTACATGTCACTGCCGATAAATTAAATTAAATCCCACGTGCAGAAGCATTTAATCAGGAAGAACAAGCAAACGAAACGAAACACTATCAGCGTTGTTTTGCTCTCATCCTGGCCTTTATACTAAAACTATTCTTAGCAACTTCTTTTTTATAATTATATTAATTACCACATTCTAGGGAGAAAAATAACCCTGGATAGCAATTACAACTTCTCTGAGGGTAACAGAAATGTTACTAAATAAAGAATATCACTATGTGGAGTTCCATGCCTAGGAGGAGCTGCGTCATCTACAATTTTTCTTGGTTATTAAAAGTCTCCTGTAATATAAATGATGGTTTCTCAATAACTGCATTTATATATGCAACAATGGCAAAGATGCAGCAATGGTATGCTCACCTATTTTTTCCTCTTTGACTCCTATTGAAGTCTTCTGTTTAAACAACAGTTGCTAAAATTAACATGAAAGTATTTTCACTCCTGTTCCCTCACTATCAAAAGAAATTTGCCAATGACCAGACTACTCATCACACTGACCTGTGTGTCCTGCCGCTGTCTAATTCACAAGTTCCCAGCCCTCTTCCCTCCAGCTCACTTGTCATTCTCAACAAACTTCCTCTACAAACCCTCCTCCGTACCTCAGCCATCTGGGATTGCTTCTTTCTTCCACCACACTTCTAACTTTCTCACCTCTCACCCCTTCTCTCTGAAAAGAGATCTTTCTTGGAAACAATTTTGTTATATTTCTTAAGTCAGGGAGAATACTGTCCAACTTTTTGCCTTGATGCAGTAAGGGATGAAATACACACTGGGGCATTTGTGTGTCACTTGGACACCAGTGAGCAAATTCAGCACAGAAAACTTTCCAAATTAATGCCCTGCACTAAGTTCATTTCCCATTTCCTTCAAAAAACAGAAAGTGTTTTTCAAAAGAGCAATTTGTACCAGAGACTGTTCTCAGAGGCTCAGACTAGCCCTTTCATGTTTTCCATTTCAGACAAATACACTGAAACTTTCTTGACAGTAGGTCTCTTCAATCAGCTGCTCTAGTCTCCATCAATGGACTTCATTCATAAATAAATGAAGCAAATGTAGTAACTGCTACACTAAGAGGCAAAAAGGCACCCGTCTAATTTGCTTAGGTCGTGTTTTTGTTACCCTGATCCCATGTTCTCTTTCTACATCTCCACTATGCAGGCTTCCACTGAACGAAACAGGATTTCTAAGAGGCAGGAGAAACAGATGTGCATCCACCCAGAAAAATATGACCTGTTGTGTCAACATATTGAGCCCACTCTTGAACACCCTGCTTCTCATATTCAAATATGAGCTTCTTCAAGTTTGTGACAGTAAGTCAGATTAGTAGCCCAAATAAGATGCAAATATTAGGAAGAGATACTTTAGGAAATACTAAAGTGACACAGCCAGAAACTGAAATTTGTAGCAGGATTAAAATTGCTTGTGGGGAGAAACAGCAAAACCCCACCAGCCTCCCACATAGAATGGCAGATTGCCCCAGAGCATGGAGCTACACCCAGCCAAATGGTTTTGAATGGAGTAATAACAGAGTAAGTTTTATTTAAAAATTAACACAGAACAGATTTTCTGTCCAATAAACTAGGACGCCAAAATCAAAGCACATACAGCTTGAATGCTGGTAAAAGCAGCGCCTGTCACAGAACGCACACAGCACCCTGGGATGAGACTGAGTGATCCAGGCTACCGGGTGCTGCCTCTACATGCTATTTAGAGCATGATTGCACTCCCAAAAGGACAGGCTTATCTTTTGGGATTGAGAAGTAGGGAGCCTTCATAATGTGCTGCACCCCAGCTCCATTTTTCCATTTCTTACATGAAAAAAACATTAAACTTGTCTGTGACTCAGTTTCTTCCCCGTCAAATTAGAATTGTACACATTGGTACGTTTAGTGACTGCTTAAAATCCTTGAAGGTACGGTATTAGGTAATTATAACATTATGCATCTACTTTCAGTATTCCCCAAGACACTTTAAAATAAGTTCACAAAAAATTTCATTAAATTAATAAAAAAAAAAAAATGCTCAACTTCACTTCTTGACTATGTGAGCATTGAGCAACCTAGGGAAAACCAACAGCTGTCCAAGAAATTAAATATAGAGAAACCAGACTTACATTTGTGTTGCAGAGTTTATATTGCTTGTAGGCGCCAATGCACACAATGGCTGCAGCCCTTTGGGGCTGGGGCTGGCCCTGCACCACCTGGTGTGACACGGGCCCGTGGTGGCTGGAGTCACTGCTGTGGAACAGGCTCTGCGACACAGGGAACGATGGGGACTGATAAACTGAGGGTCCCAGGACTTGATGCCCAGCCTGAGCCCCACTTTCTTCTTGATAAAGATTCCCATGTTGAAGGGAAGGACTAGCTGCCTGGCTGTAAGCGCTCATGATGCTTGGATTCTGATGAAATACTTGGTTCCTCGATGATTGTCGCTGCCTCCGAAGTTTCTGAGGCTGTTGACCAGTATCAGTTTGTAAAGGTAAGATGTATGGCACTTTGCCATATCCATACTTTCCTGGACCAATAGGACTTCTGTTTCTGCTTCTAAAAACAGAGAAAGAAAGAGAAAAGAGTTATTGAATTCATAAGTGAAGCAGCAGTTAGACACCCGTATGGCCTGTTATTTGTCAAAGTTATTAGCTCCAAAGCAACAGGTAACCAGAAATTTCAATCCATTTTATAGAAAAATATGTACAGCTTCCTTGGGGTCTTGGGAATCTCTGAAGAAGTCTACTGGTTGAATTTTGGCTGACAGTCACATGGGCAGCCGGTGCCAACCAGCAAAGGCAAATGGTCAGGTGTGGTATAAAGCAGCAGTTTGAGGGGAGGTGGTGGTTGTTCTTTTAATCCCTAGGACTCTCCTTTAAAATGGAAATTCAGAGAATCAAAGCTATATATTCCTAAAATTCATAACCGTGTCTCTGAGGAGCCCGAGATACATAGCAGCAGGAAATCCCTACTGTGGATTTGATTAATGACAGAAGAAAATTTGAATTCAGTATGGCAAAGATCATTAAACATTTTGTATCCATTTAAAAGCCCCCCTGTGGTTCTGCTTCATTTGCTACTTAAGAAATAAAAATGAAAAAAAAAAAAGGATAAGAAACATCAAAATATTACTGAAAGACCTCTGGGAAAGAAGGTGAATACAGGAAAATGTTATTATTGTGGTACACAGTTAATTTTCTCTTCTTTGGCCAGAAAATTTACTCCTTTGTGTTTTGTTTTTTTTTAATATACAAAGCGAGGATTATCAAAACATTTAATTAATAAGTCGTGAGCCCCCAATTCATTGCCAGGATAAAAGCCCACTTTTCAGTGTACATTACTAAAACATTACACAAGAGCTTGGCAACCCCCAGCACTAATCACAGAAGTTTCAGGTCTGCTCTATTGCACACAGATCTCTTCTCACCCCCTGAAGACTCTGCGTTTGGGCCATATGACACCTCTACCAGCACTCTCAAACAGCTGTACTCCCTGGAGGGTAGTTTCATCCTCTGCACCCTCACAGCAACACAATGGACTCAGTCTAGAAATTCAGCTCCAAATTACAAGTGAGAACATATAAAATGAATAATACCACATTTGGGTCATACCATCCAAGAGGGTTAATCCCAGAACCTTATCTGCAAGCAGTATGCTCAATTGCATTTGCTTTTCTTGCCATCCTGTACAACTCAACATCGCACCAGGCCTTGATTTCTAATGTAGCAGTCTGAAGAATAAGTTGGCAAAGTAAGTTTCATCTAGTTCCCACCAATGTGGGAATACAGCTGGTTTAGGTAACCTTTGCAGCTCAGGAAGGGAGACACCATTAAAATAAGGTCATTTTCTCTTTCTGTCCATAAAATGTATTTATATTTTTTAATATATATAAAATAGACTTGAACTGCAGTGAAACCAGAGGTTATAAATTGACGTACTTATTTTCTAGAAACTGAAGTGTTACAGATGTCAGACAGCAACCAGATCAAAGAGACTCTCCTTTGAGTTTGTTTTTTCTTGTATTTGTTTTCTTCCCAAGTCTTATATTCTCTCAAGACTTTTCTTACGTGGGAACCTTGGAAGTCCTTTACTCAACATTCTAGCTCTGTGGCCACATGGGTCTTTTAATCAATCTTCCTGGCTCAAGGATGTGTGACAAGAGTGTTGATTTACCCTGGCAGATAAGCGACCAGCACTCTCGAGCTGTTTATACACGTTAATCTGCTCTGTGACCACAACGGTCATTGTTGAGATGGGGGTTTGGTAGTTACAGTAGCGAGAAGTGGTATAACGGGGTTTGGCATTAAGGGAGAGAGAAAAAAGGGTTCCTGTAAGTGGATAAGTGAGGAAAGAAAGAGAGATTATGAACTGAATTATTTCAGAAATTGAGACTTAAACCAACTTGATTTAAATGAGCATAATTTTGTGTTGGCTTAGTTTTCTTTTAACGGGCAAATAAATTGATTCCCCCTATGTCGCTGCTATTTTTAATTTTTCACATAACTCTTCATCTCTGAGCGAGAGCAAAACAAACAAACAACAAATATTTCTTGAGATTTCTATTCATATTTTGCACTCTGCAAACATTTTAGTTTCATAATTCTCAAGAAGCACCTTATATTTTCTGAGCAAATTGGTTCATCTTGAAAACAGACACAAGTCCCTATTTTGATGTGCTCCCACCTTTCATGATTCTTACAGACAGTGGTTTTTTTCTCAACCTAACCACACCAAATTTGAAGTGTCTGAGATACAAACCTTGGCCACAGCTCCTGGTATTGAGAAAGTTACTGCTTCATTGCAGGGAGCACAGACTGCATGGGGTGGTGTTCACAGGGGTGGACAGAGGATGGCAGGTCTACTGAAATTAGCTTTTGGAATATATCATCTACAGTCAGGTTGCTTGCACTTTTCATTGACAGGAGGACAAAGCTGCTAATAATTGAGCAGTAAGCCATGAGCGGACCAGTGGAATGGTAGGAATATGCCTCTGTCCCAGTCTCCTGAATGCCAAATTCTTTGCAGCAACAAACACTAGAGTCTTCCAGAGAGGAACCTCTAGATGTATCATCCAACCCACCCGGAAGAACAGCTGCCTGGCAAACAAGGAGAGGTCACACAAAAGGTCAAAAATGAGGCTGATGTTTGACTGTTTATCTCCAGTTCAGGGTCATGAATCAGAACTGAAAAGAACCAAGGGACATGCAAGAAATGGTGACATAAACTATGTCTCTTCACCCTGGAAAAAATGATGAAATGGGCATATAGTAGTCTTAAACATAGAATGACTAGTAACTGAAAGAAAGACCCGTAGTTGAAGGTAGCAAGTGTCCAAAAGCTCCTGGAATCTCATAAAATTATTTGCAAAAATTAGAATAACTTACTTTGAAGGAAGCCAGACCTTTTTCTTGTAAACTGGTTGATCACTGCAACAAACACACAACAACAGCACCCAAGAAGTGAAAGCAATAACCACATTCTTACTGTTACTTTCTGTCTCATCTTGGCTTCTTTTTCTCCACTGTAACTTGGAAGTGTCCCCACTGATGAAGAAATGAGGCACCATTTCTGGTAGCCTAAGTTTCCAGCACCATTATGACGACTTGCCCGTGGTTGCACCAAGCTCATCAGGGACAAGTCCTCTACCTTTACCTCTTCCCCCATAACAGTTAGGGCCAGAATATCCCAAGACATTGCCGTGTACCACTGAATACAAGCTTCAGTTTGCTCAGGTTATGCAGTAATTATGACCTGGAATTTTCATGGGAACACACTTCCTCTGAAATGGAAGATTAACTTTTGTAGCTGAGAACATCGTATTTCTTTCAACAAACAAACTTCTGGAAACAAAATGTAACACACAACTTCTAATTATTAACATCTTTATCAGTATTCATGCTTTAATTTGAACCTATAATGCCTGTATTGAAACTATTCTGAATATTGTCTGTTTTGCCTTAAAGCATCTTTCATTCACACTTGGCAGCACCCTTATAAATTAGGAATGCAGTTTGTGGCAATGTAATAAAGAAGCTTGTAAAAATAGCTCGGTGGTAATTAACTTTAACAATTCTTGGGGAGTGTCAGGCAGAATTTATGATATCATGCAGCAATGAGGGACAGTGTTATGTAAGTCCATACACAATAAGAAAACAATGGGAAAAGGGGAATCAGGGAAATGAAAGAGGAGGGGGGAAATCAGACAAAATCTGCCATTAATTTAATAATCAGAATTAAACTAACCTTGCTGACACTGTTTGCTTTATGCTAAATCAACCCAGCTTTGATCTGCTGGTAGGAGACGGAAGTAGGTCAAGCCCTGATGGCTTTTTGGGAGTTTCCAATTGCCAGCAGGACTTTTTCTTTCCTATGACTCGTTATGATTACTTGTATTAATTATAAGCCACATAACTCATCTCTCCCCACTGTATGGCTTAGAAGCTCCTCCTTATTGGTCTTTTTTCAATGCACACTATCATGACCCAGGTTAGAATCGAGACGCACTCTCATTTAATGCAACAAGTAAAAGAGGAAAAAAGAAGTAGCAAGTGACAGCACATCCTTAAGCTTTGTGCCTACGTAGCCAGACCTCAGCTAGAGTGAGATTTTGCAACATTAGACTTTACATGTCTAGGTATGCTGAAAACCAGCAGAGTCATCCTTCTTAACGTAACAATGGTTAAGAAGAGCGTTTGAATATGATGTTGAGTATGTGGAGCTACAGAGTGAGGCTGAGTGTATGAGCCAGTCAACAACCCTCAAACAAACTCTGAAAATCCCAATTGAGCAAGATCTGAGTTTTAGATAACTTTGACAAAGCTTTTCCAGCAAGGTGTTACATTTCATCTTTGCAAGTTCATGGTTCCCCAGCAGTAATAGAAATAATTACAAGAGAATGGAGCTCCACATTCCTTCCACCAGCACAATTCCTAAAATTGCTGTATTTAGAAAGGATTCAATATATTTCCAAAACCTGCAACATGCTGCATTGCATATGAAGGTTATGACTGCGTCAATACAAATTCTTCACATAGCCTGTATGAAAACAACAGTAATGAATAATGCCTAGGTTCCTTCTGATAAACGCAGTCCCTGCAGAACAGATACTGTTTACAGTTGGATTTACTTAGGTATTACAGCCATAAGTTGGAGCACCGATTATGAGAATGATTGTAGGGATGAACTCCAAAAAGTATGAGAAGTCAACCACTGGCACTGAGACACCAGCATTACCACGCTCACAACCGAACCTCTTAAATGGCACGTTACTGCTCATTCAACTGAACAATAAATAGTTAAAAATCAAAAGAAGCCCAACTCCCAAAAAGGAGAAAACACCAAATGTTTGAAAAACAGGTGACAGGTAACAGAAACTTGGGACTTTATCCTGCAGGATTACTCAGTGTTTCTCACTTGTGTAAATCCAGCGCACTTCTGCACATGCTTGGGCCCTTCAGGAAGTTACTGATTCCCTTCTACATCAATCTTCTCAAAAGCACTCCCTTTTTCAGCTGTGCCAAATATGACTGTATTAGCAGAACAGTCATGCTATTTTT